GCTGACTTTGGCTTTGTCGCTAAAAAAATGCGGTTGAATTAAAGAAGATAAATCTATTGTAAAATGACAACGCAGATGTAAGAATACATACAAACTATACTAATCGGCGGCGGTACGTCGATACTGGCTGGTATAATATTATTATTTTTGTAAGATTTGATTGGCTTTTCCTTCCACAGATTGGCAGATACTTGATCGTCGAAGAGATCTTTTTTACCGCTAAATAGATTGTCAGAACCGTTGAACACATCTTCATCCTTCTCGGACGCAAACAGATCATCTGAGAAAAGTTAACAGTCAATTAATTCCGAGAATATTTTATTTACAATTTATATTTTTGCGACGAAGGTATTAACTGCATACCTTTAAATCGATTAATCGATGATTCATTGGTTTCATCTACTACGACAGGCTTTTGCGCTTGGCGAACGGTGCCTAATCGCTTGGCTAATTCTTCTGCAAAATTCGGTGCCGTTTCATTTGACTGCAAGTGAGAAAAAGAGAATTGTTTCATCTTTAAAATATAAAAATTATCAAATCTTGGACACCAAGATCCTTATTCTATACTCTTAACTCCTTCAGACCCAGCGTATATTATAATGTACATCAAATTTGAAGACATTATCCGTTGAAATTATTTAATTCTGTGATCATCTAAGATCTGATGTACACAATAATGTATATGTTGAAAAAATAGTTAAAATTTTGAAAAAAATTAATTGTTTAGTACGAATTTTTTATTTAAATACACACGAATTGAATTTAAAAAAAATTTTTTAAATATAGTTCCAATAATAAATCATGTCTGAAAGGATTAACAGTGTCAGTGTCGTTACACAGTTGTCATTGCGCAGATTTTATACATGATAAAAAAACTGTACAATGGCAGAATAAAACGACTCTGACACTATCATTAAAAATTATACAACAGGAGCCTGACTGTCAAATAATGAAAGAGATTTATAAGATTAGTTATACCTTCGATACATTGTTAGGTGTGGCAGACTCTGAAGCGGAATTTATATTATTCTGTGATGCAATATCCGTTTTATTATTCCCGTAAGATATGTTATTGCTGTGATCATTATAATTATCTGAATCGCTGGAGGACGACGACAACCTCGCTATATTTATCTCCGGATTGTGTCGACTGTTAAACACTTTACGCACATCGGCATCCTCCTTTTCACTTTCCGATTCATCCCTCTCTTCGTCGGCTTGTTCAGATTCGCTACTGCTACTCTCTAAACCTATCTTATTCGATGCTATCCATTTATCGGAACCGATAACATACGGCAAGGGCCGATCTTGATATGGATCATTGGGTCCCACAATGACACTGTAAACCAATCGAATTTTAGCACAAAGCAAATATTATAAGGATAAGAATAAAGACACTAACCTGAATACTACCGCACCCCCTTCATCTTCTTCTTCGCTATCGCTGCAAGCTACATCCATTACTTTGTACTTTTCATCCATTATGCTTAATCCTTGCTTAACGCTCTCGCTTATGCTGGCTAAGAGATTCTCCGGTGTAGACTCCTGAGTCTTTGCATTCTAATGAAAGAATACAAAAATTCGTTTCACTCAAATATGAAAAGCCATATTTTCCAAAATATTTATTAAAAACAGAAGTATTATATATTAAAACGTAAATATTAATTCTCGCTTACTTCCTGCTTCTCATCCAAATTTTCCTTAATCTCTATGTCATCCTCCTGCACGCGGCTCTCGATAAACTGAGTATTGGCCAAAGCTAAGGACGTGTTAGTAACATTATCCACTAGTATCCCCGTTTCTTTTAATTGCGTCGTCAACGTGTCTAGAGCAGCTTGAGTTTTGCTAGCCTTGGACACCAGATTCTAAAATTTTACACAAAATCAATACAACGTACCGCTGAATATAAGCGTCAGCGAGGCAAAGTAATAAATTATACTTCAGAAAATTGTTGAAGATGTTTAAGCAGTCCAACGTCACCCGCCAGACTCCACTCCCTTCTCTTCTTTCTCATCTCTTCGGTGGTCCATGGATGATCCCATGATTTATCAATCCCATCTGACACACCCTGCCGATAAAATAAAATAATTGATTTAGAAGTAATACTGCTTACTGCTGTTGCAATTAAAAATATTTTAAGCATTAATATACACCTGTTTATACATATATTTATATTTATACATATTATATGTCATGTAAGATCAACTATAAGATTCTTCTGTAACGTCAAACTTTCATAACTTCCGTTTTATATGATAAAATAAATTTATACATCGATTTATAGATTAATATATATAAATATATATATATATATTATAAAATTCAGTCATACACAATATAGTGGATTAATACATATTAAAAAGGCTGCTTTATATAAAATATCTAAATGCAGTGGCATAATACAATCAACTTTGACAACGAAATAATACATCTCCAATTTCTTTGAAAGAAGTGGGATGAAACTCCAAAGAAGGATAATTCAGTCTTGAAAAAAAAAGTGATTTAATTTACTCTTCAGAGTTCGATTCACTCTAAAAGTTTTAAAGAGTGTATATTCTAATATAAACATGTATTATTATTGAATATTTAATCGTTTAAAATATTTATTATACATTTACATTCAACTTTGCTAATTTTACGTACAGCAGCTTTTAGTATTAATCTAATATAATAAAGTGACGAATTCGCTATTAAACATAATGTCAACAAATACACGTATACAGCTTCAAGGGATAAACAGCAACGTTCGCTGATGTTAAATTCAAAGTTGGATTAAAAAAAAAACTTTTAACAACGAAAATCGCAACTGTGCGATCGGACTGACCGCGACTATGCAACCTGAACGTAGCTTCGAAAGAAAGTTGATCTATTACGTCCCATTATTGACACTTGCTAACCTAAGTGCAAATGTTTCACTCACCATATCGAGCAGCTCGTAACACGATGGAGAACGATGAGGAACTTTCTTCTCGCGATTACATTTAAACGGGTCGACGGACCGTAACCTGATTCCTTATCGTAAAAATGTAACGAGGGACAAGAGCGGAGAAAAAATATGTAGCAAAACACGCGCCGAGATGAACTCCGTATGCGAATTATCGGTGTAATGCGAACGTGAGCCGAGCGAGCGCCCCCACTCGGTTTTTCGCAGCTGCACTTTCTGCACTCAAAAATGAAACAGGTATACAATTACACGTTGGAGGGAGAGAGATAAAACGAGAGGGAGATAGAAAAAGTACAGAAAGTTCAGTTACAAAGAACAGTCTGTCAAATCGACGTCAGGGACGGACGATAATCTCAAGTATCCCGAGTGCAAAATATGGATGTAAACACGAATGTTATCCGAAGAGAGAGAGAGAAAGCAAAATGCTTAAAAAGAAGGAAAAGATAAAATATAAAAATGTCTAATACTAAAAGGATGCTTTTGAAAACACGAGCGACAATTAATATTTAAAAAATTGTGTATACGTATAAATTTATAATATATAATTATATTTTAATACATAATATTTTTAATATTCTTAATATAAAAAATTATAAATACTTTTATAAAAATTATAATACAAAATTATAACACGTATTTAATCATAATCTCATTTTTTCGCAGATTAATTGAAAAACGCAAGATATTCTTAGCGATTAGTATTTTACATTTGATTCCAACACATATAATCAAATTACAAGTTCTTTGTTACAACAAGTCATCCAATTTCAATATTAATCCTCATAAGTTGATTGGAACACAGGTACTAATTTTTATAATTTATAACTCGAAAGAATTTTCAACATTGAATTAATCAAGAAATGTTGTGATCATTAGAATCTGGAAATTTTGAGTTCAATTAACAACGAATTACGAACACTTGGATTATCGGAAAAATTGTAATAAAAGACGAATTTCTTTGGATATTATTCGAAACTCATTGGACTAAGGCCGGTATTCATAGTCGATTCTTATTTCAAAACCGTCTTAGTAATGTCTTAAGACGCTAATGCGGCCCTCTGATTGGTTCATGACACCTTAAGACTGTACCCTATAAGCGCATAATATTATTTAATATTAAATAATATTTTAAGCATATTCTCAGAATATTAAATATATAATTATATCCATTATTAATGGATTATAATTACTAATAATAGATATGGTTATAACAACTATAATTATAGTCATTTTAGGTTGCCAACTATATACATTTGTTGCTGGAACTATATATATAGTTACTGTTATTATTATTATAGCAGTAATAATCATAATTATAGTAATATATAATTATAGTTACAAAT